ATGGCATCTGCGGCTGTGGCTTGCCTGCCCACTGCGGTCAGCCTGCTGTTGCTGGCGGCATTATTTATGCAGATCTCAGGGGTGGGCTTAGCACTCACCTGGCCCCACAGGCTTTGTTTACTCAGAGTTCTCCTGTGCGCGAGCTGTTGCTACAAGCTTTCCCCTTTCCAAGCACACTGGGGGAGGTGACACTGCACCCGCTTTCTCAGGCCTGCTCAAGTGGGAAGTGGGTCCTTCCCTCTCTCCTGTGGAGTTTTCCTCCCACAGCCACTTTTACAAGCTTTCCTGCTCCTGATTACTGGGCGGTGCTGCTGCTCCTGCTGGAGCCTCTCCAGCCCGCCCGGCTTGTTTATTTACAGTTCCGGGAAGGGTTCTCTTCCCTCAATCTTCGGTGCTCAGTGCACCCCACCCTCTTTCCCACGTCTTTATTGTTCTTATTGCTTATTACTCAGTTTCTCTTTTTTCCCTGGGTGGAGGTCAGTCTGTCCAGGGGGCTATGCTGCTCTGGCCCAGGGTTGTCTGTGGGAGTTCCGCATACCGCTAAGCTCACCTTGTCTGCATCTTCCCAAGCCGTCTGGGCACGGGCAAATGGCAGCCCGGGGGCCCTCCTTGTTTCTCCGTTTAACGTGAAGTGGAGATGCTCTGTGCCGGCTGGAGGTGTGGAGGGTTCAAAGTTTTGCCTCTTCTTGGTGGTTTTGCCTGCATGGTGTGTCTCCAGTGTGTCTCCAAGAGATCACTATAGGAGCCACACTTTCTGCTTCCTCCCTCTAGCTGCCATCTTGGAATCTCCCCCTGTATATCTATTTTAAACAAACAGAAATGTCTCTTTTCAAAATGGAAGACAGGAAGATAAAGCAGGCCCTGTCTGGGGGTTGGCACCAGGGAAAGGGGGAGGATAAAAGGAAAGGATGTAGGAATGTGAATATGGTGGAAATATCACGTACTCATGTATGTAAATGACAAATGAGACCTGTTAAAACTATTCTAGGAAGGGGGGGAATGATTGAAGGGGTGATTGAATTTGATGAAGATATATCATAAAGCATGTTTGTAAGTGTCACAATATACCCTCAGTACAACAAGGTGATGATAACAAAAAAGAATGTCACACTGAATTAATGTGTGCAAAGGGTGCATGAGGTTGATATATGTTAAAACTAAGTTGGTGCTTGAGAGCCTGTGCCCCTAGAAAGTTATTATCTTCCCTTTGTAGTGAATAAGTATCTTGAGGGAAATCCTTTGTGGCTATGCAAATTCTGTTTCTTTTTAAATATTTGCTAATTAATTTTAGCATTCATCAGAGGATTTTGTCTGCAGCAGTTATTACCGATGGTTTTACCTAATGGTGATTTTCTGTTTCACTTTCTTTCTACATTTATTAACTGGAATTCCTCTGTAGAGGAGAGCTGTCCTAGATCTGCCATTTATTTGTAATTTGGTTCATTATTTATGTCATAATCCATTTCGAATTTATTCTTTTTTAGTGAGAGAAATGGATAGCATTTTTGTTTTTCAAGTGATTGCTCAGTGATATTTGTTCCAAAGTCCATCTTTATCCCAGCAACTTGAGATAACCCCTTTGTCATATGTAGAATACCTTTATATATTAGAATATTATGGACTTTGTACTCTATCTTTGTATTTTATTGGCAAGTTCCACACTGTTTTTATCTGTTAGCTTTACAGTATTTTCAATGTCTTATTGGGCTGGGTCTTCCACATGCAGTGTTCTGAAAGCTATTCTTTTATATTTATTTTTCCATATGAACTTTTATTCTTGACTTGTCTACATCCAAAAAAATATCATATGGCTGTTTTTACTGGATATTGAATTTAGAAATTAAATTGGGGGAGAATGGCATCTTCATCACATTGAGTTATTCCAGGTGAGCAGAGGGATTCTATTTATACTTCTTCAAGTACTTTTGTTCCTCCCCCAGGGAATTACACATATTTTCTCATATACATTTGGTACACTTTTGTTAATTTCCTTCCTACATATTTGATGTTTTTGTTGCTATTATAAATGGAATTTTCATCACTATTATCTAACTTGTTTATGCATATGAAATCCATTGGTTTTTGAATGTCAATTTTCTATTCTGATACCTTATTACATTTAAAAATTATTTGACTTAGTTTTTTACTAATGATTCTTTGGAGTTTTCCATATATGCTATCAAATCATGTGTGAATAGAGGGAGATAATTTTGCTTATTCTTCCCCTGTTCTGATGCCTAGAATTGTTTTCTCTGGCTTAAATGAATCAACTAATAAGCTTAGGAAGTGGTGAAGAGTAACAGTTAGTGGGCATCTGACCTGTTCTGGTTTTAGCGAAAATGTCTCTAATACATACATATGTACAATGCAGTCCTCAGCTTCTATTTCTTTGAGTGTTTTTTTTAAAGCATCTGTGAATGCATGTGTGCTGAAAGAATAGATCAAAATATGATTTTTCCTTTAGCTTTATTGGGATTGTATATGATATTAACATGTTTTCTAATACTGGGGCAACTCTACATTTTTGATATAAATCCTACTTGGTCATGATGTATTATTTTCTTAATATGGCATTGGATTTTGTTTGCTAATATTGTACATAGGATTTTTGCATTGGCAGGCACAAACAATACTTTCCTGTAATTTAATTCTATGTATTATCTTTCTCTGAAGATAAGTGTTATATATGCTTCATGAAAGGATTAGAATGTTGACTGTTCTTTTCAATACTGTGAAATAATTTGCAGAATATAGATTTAGTCTTCAAAAATTTGAAGACTGAATTTGGGTTTGGTGCTCTTTTGTAGGGGTAGTTTCTTAACATTTTTCTCTACTTTTCTCTTACATCCTTGGTTAATTTTTATAGTTATGTATATGGTGGTTTTTGTTTTTGCTATTATATTTCCTCCTCCTCCTCCTTCTCTCTTCTTCATTCTTTTGGTGGGCTCCTGTGATTTGAACTCAGGACCTTATACTTGCTAGGCTGGTGATCTATCACTTTTTTGCTTTAGTTATTTTCAGACAGGGCTTGCTTCAGATGGTGATTTACTTACACACACCTCCCTCATAGCTGGAATTACAGACACACACCACCAGACACATCTTGTTTCTTGAAATGTGGTTTCTCAAACTTTTTTTGCCCAGGCTGACTGAGTATCTGGGATTATAGATGTGTGATACCACATCTGGCTCCTAACATTGTTTTCATAATTTTCTTTATTGGTAGTTTGTTATTAGCATATAGAAATGCTATTGTATGTTGTGTATTGTATGTTGACTTTGTATCCTAAAACTTCAGTGCATTTGTTTGTAAGTTCTAATCATTTTTTTGTGGAATCATTTTTTTATATATAAAATTAATTTATTGGCAAATAGAGAAAATTTTCCTACTTTTATTTCTTCCTCTTGCTTAATAGCTGCTATACTTTTAAGTCATATTTGTCCCTATAAATTGAGTCTGTTTCTTTAATTAATGTATTTGGGTCTTTTGCTTGGCCTTCTTATAATCCCATCTGATACTATAAATTGTTCATCCTTGGAGCTGGATGTGATACATGTTTATAATCCCAGCACTAAAACAGCTGAGTCAGGAAGGTTGAGAGTTCAAGGCCAGCCTGGGTTACACAGAGTGAAACCTTGTGCATACTTTGAAATTCATTTTCTATCGTTTTTGCTCTATTCCATTTGATTACTTTCCTTATACATTCATATTTAGGGTAGATTTACTGTGATTGTTTCAATTCACTTTTTACTAATTTCCCATCTGTATATTTCCTGAATTATTTCCTCAGTCTCTGTTTGGTCACCACAAAATTGTGAGTTTGAGTACATGTGATGAAGGAACATGATAGATTCTGGATCTGGAATTTATTATTTTTACCTTGCACAGTTATTTTGCAGCACTCCTATTTTCTATTAAGAAATATTGAAAAGATGATGTGTAAAATATTTATGCATAAAATGTTCTGTACTTTTAGAAAGTTAATTACTACAGACTATCTTGTTTTCAACCACATAGATGTCCCATAAAACTATACATGTATGTATTTTAGAAAAAGGCAGGATAAAATTTGAAACATATAAAAATTTCCAATGAGTAATCCAGTACTTTGCTTCAAATTGGAACACAGGATGACTTAAATTTTATTAATGGAAGTGAAGTATCCAGATTTCAGCAGGTCATGGTCTTATTTCTCTGAATACCTCTTTATATCACAACTTCTGTTAGTATCACCAGTTAGAGGTAAAGATTCTCACCTTTTGAACATATCCTTTCAGTGGCATTCATGTATTTTTACACAATTGAGAGCATGTTATAATATATTTTTTTCATTCTCTTTCCAAATTATTATATAGTTTTCCAGTTTCATTAAAACTTTTTATGACCTTTATTTTCATGGAATATGTGACATTTCCCAGTGCTAAAAACTCAGATTATTTGAAAATTGACTTCTAAACATAACCCTGTAGTGACCCTCTAGATGCACATTTAGAGTTATGCATTTAAGCGTGATTCCCTAGAATTTGAATAGCCAATCAAAAAGTATCAGTATATTTGATGATAATTTTATGGATTATCAAATACCTTTATTTAAGCCTTTGGCTAACTCCATTGCCACTGGCAAATATGATTTTCAGTGCTTTCCATTATTTAAAAGTACTTTGCTAACTTGAAAGTAAAAGATATGCTATTTTTTTTGCATCTAAAGAGAGTTAACTTTATTTAGATAATATTTGTATTGCATTAAAGAATTAAAGGTTATGGAATTTTCTTATCAATTTATGAGAACCCTTTATATGCTTACATTTATTTAATGGTTTCATTGAAATTTTTGTTGAACTAATTTTCCCATTAAAATATTTTTACAACATTTTAATAGGAATAATTATTATCTAGTCATATCTGTCTATTTTTTCTGTATGGATTATTTTCTAGTAAGGTCACTCATGAATAAACATATTTTTCAAATGCTATGACATATGACAACTTTCTGTGATAGGTATGTGAGACGCTATCTTTGCTTAAGCAAGTCTGGCCAGAAGGATCTGATATTCGACGTGTCCTTTGTGTTATTTCCTGCTCATTGTCTTTGAGAATGTACCATGACCTTTTAAAAAACAAAAAGACCTCCTCTGATCAGAAGACTAATACCCAAAAGGTATGAATGTTGTAACTTCACTGGGAAACACCATTGCTCTCCACTTTTGGCATTGTATCTAATTGTCATCTACTATTTTATACTTTTGATATTCATGTTTTATGCTTACTTGTTTGTATTAACTTCAAATATAGGGAAACACTAGAGTTTATTTTTATAAAAAAGTATCTTTTAAGTTGCTGATGATTTAGAGGTTATGTGCAGATGTTTTGCTTAGTACACATTTATCTAACTCATCTTTAGGGAGGGGAAACAAGGAAGGATGTTATTGGGCTGTGGGTATAGCTCAAGTGATACAGCACCTGCCTAGCAAGCATGAGGCCCTGAGTTTAAACACCAGTACTGCCCCTCTCCACAAAAAAAAAAAAAAAAAGAAAAGATGTTAGCACTTCGTGGGAGCCTACTATGATTTGGGCTTTATTTATGCACTGTATCATTAAATACTCACAACAGCATTTCAAGGCAGGCATCATTCCTGTTTCATGTATGGGAATACTGAGTTTGAGATATTCCCAGTAACATTCCCGAAACCAAAGGTCTTAAATACCGGTGTGAATTGAATTCACATCTGTCTTTTGCAAATTCTACACCACCACATTGTCCTTTGAAGAAATGTTCCTCATGCCTTGGTTCTTGTGTCTAGAGAGCTCCTACACTTCTTAACCTTCTTTATGGCTAATTAGGTCAGGAATCTGTTGGCTATTGGGATTTTTTACCCAAGTAATTATTCTCTGCATATATGTACTCAGGGGTACACTCACACACGTGTCCACATACTATTTTGTATAATCTGAATACTGGGGATTCTTAGTGAAAGATCTCTATTCAGAAGTTTTATTTCTCCCACAATTTCAGAAATGAACAGGACTTGGCATCTGTTTTGTTTGTTTGTTTTGTGGTACTGAGGTTTGAACTCAGGTCCTACACCTTGAACCACTCTAGCAGCCTTTTTTCTTGTGAAGGTTTTTTTTCCAGATAAGTTCATCCAAACTATTTGCCTAGGCTGGCTTTGAACTGTAATCCTCCTGATCTCTACTTCCTAAGTAGCTAGGATTTACAGGAATGAGCCACCAATGCCTAGCTGCACTTAGCATCTTTGACTTAACATTATGGATATTTTGTTTTCCAATAGCTCCTTGAGTATATTTTTAGTGAAGCCTTTCTACATGATGAAGCATGCTATTTAAAAAAATTCTCACAAATGCTAAATCTATCTCAGTGGAACTTCTAACCCTGAGACCCTACTTGTCTCTCTGAAAATTACCACATGAAATCTTGCTCCCGCTTCCCTGATAACCATGTAAATATTTGAAGCCAATGATTACATCTTGGTCCCATAGTGTTAGATATGTCCACCTCTTTACCCTTGTTGTCATTGGGCACATTTTTCAGATATGTTGGTATCCTAGTGTCCTCTCCCTAACTCAACATTGAATGTTGTGCTCTGGACAGAAGAGAGCATTTAGTATGTGGCTCCATCCCTGCAAAGCACTGATTTCATTAGCTGCTTGAGAAGTTTGACTTCACTGAAAAATCCAGAAAAGTGTCTTATGTTAACTGCTATGAAGGCTGGAAGCTTCCCTTCCCCTCTATCCCAAATATTTATAAAAGCAGCTTACTTTATGTGTGAAGAAAAGGACTATGTCAGAAATGTAGAATGGAAAATGTAAAACTGCCTAATTCCTGCACAGCAAAGCATGACTTTCAGCATTTTGGTTCTGCATGCAGATATACAGTGTGATAGCCCACTGTTCTCTGGTCTACTTTTTAAATTTTATTTAGGTGCAGAGCAATTGCTTAGACCTGAAGAAGGCGGAAGATTTTTGTAGACTGGATTGTCTCAGTGTGGCTTTTCTACTCCACTTACCTCTTTCTCAAAGAGCTCGTTCTAGATTCATCACTTCCCATTGGATTAAGGACCTTCAGACTTTCTTTAAAATGGTAAATGTCTTCTTTTTTAGCTTATAATTTTTGTTTTGTTTCAACTGCTTGATGGATAAAAGTCATAATAACCTTCAAAACAGATTTATGCGGGAATAGCATAGTTCTTTAAAGGTTTAATGACCTAAATCAGTCATTCAATTAATTCCTGTCACTATCTTTGGTAAGAATAGAAAAGAGCATGGTATAGAGCCAACATAAAGAAAATGTTATTTTGCTTGTTTTGTTGGAGGTTCCTCCTTCTTTGATAATTCTACCTTTAACACGAGCCATGGATAGCTTCCCTAACTTACCTGGTGAGAGCTGGGCTGTCAAATGTAGTAGCCAAGTGGAAACTGAACACTTGAAATATATATAGCCTGATTGAGATGTGACATACATTTAAAAGAACTAGCAGATTTCACAAACAGTATGAAAAATATGTAAACTATAGTAATATTTTTGAATTCATTACAGGTTGAAATGATACTTTGAATATATTGGATTCAATAAAATAAATTATTAAAATTAATTTCAGCTTTTAAAAATGCAACTCTTAGAAAATTTAAAATAATGCATAGCTTACTATATTATATTTCTGTTGTACGATGTAAGGTTCAATTCCCACAATGATAAGTTGTTCACATTTGGAAAGCACTTGTATTTTGTTATTAAGAGAGTGGGGGGGGCAGAGGAGCTTTTGTCAGGAGGCTCTCAGTTGAACTCTAGAGATAGTACCATTGACTGAAGCTCGGCTAGCCTCTCACTCTTGTCTACTCTGCTCTGAGCTAATGTGATTAAAGAAGACGTCTTTCCTGTGTCAATGAGGAACATAGCCTCCTGATCGTAAACCTGGTGGACGTAAGCAGTATAGGTGGATGGGAATCTTTTATTTGAAAGATTCAGCATCTTCTAGATCCCTTAACAACCAAAAACTCTTTATTTAAGATGCTCTTTTGACCTGAAAGTAAAAATTGGAAAACATTGAACAGGCACAGTTGGAAGCAGAGATATTTCTGCTGTGTTTGAGACATAGTGTGTTTCTCACAGTGTGAGGAAAAACTTTCATTAAGGTTCGACTACAGATTTCCTTGACTCAGTATAAAGAACTATACTGAATTCATTTTTGAATCAGTTTTGATTTTATTTTATGCTTTAACCTTTTGAGAAATAAAGCATTCATCACTAGCTAGTCTGAATGGGCTCATATATTAATTAATAAGAATTAGAATAGACCTGTCTAGTTGCCTTTCATTCAGACTATAGAGATAAATTAAAATTGAAAATTACCATTGACTTGGTTTTATTTTCATTTGCAGAAAAAATGGTGTGAATATTTCATCCTAAGCAAAATAAACATTTTTGAATTTTGGAATCTGAATTTAACTCACCTTTCTGACTTAAGTGATGAGTCTTTGTTGAAGAATATTGCTTTTTACTATGAAAATGAGAATAGAAAAGGTATCGTGTTATTATCTAGTAATAATAATTGTACTTTCATCCAGAAATAAACATTATAAGGAGTTTAAAATTTCAAAATAATTTTCTTATATTGAAATATAACACAGTGATTTTTTTTCTAATCTTTGTTCATTTATATATGTAATTTTTATTTAGTTGCAATCAAGAGTAAATATTGTGTTTAAAAATGTTTTTTCATTTGATATTACGTAAATATAAATGTTTTATTTTTGTAAAACATATGCATTTATGTGCTTGACATTTCCAGGTAATTTTAAACAATTGAATTTTTCATTTATGTGCATGAATATTTCTTTATAAATTACTCTAATAATATAATCATTACATTATTAGATATTTAAGAGATTTTAATTCTTTTCCAAAAATAAAGTTATTTGTATATTTGTTATACATAACTTGGTTTTCTTATTAATTTTTTTTGTGAATAAGTTTTCTTATGTTTCTTCATAGGCAAAGAAAGATAAAATACATTTTCAGAGAACTGTAATTGAACATTATTGGAGCTTCTTTTATACCTAGGATTTGGTTGCTTCTTATTAACATTGAAATTAAATGATCTTTTGTTAATTTTTTTGTTTCTCATAGATCATAGTTTTTACTTACTTTATTAATTCTAAAGTTAAGTATGATACAGTGTTTTTATTATGTTAAAGAATAATTAGATATCCACCATCTACTTTTTTTAGTTAAGATAGTTATAATTTTAATACTTATCAAACAGAAAAACAAGATTAACTTTAAAATCTGCCACCTTATAGTCAACACTAGTGACCATTTTCATTTAGGTCCAGTATGGAACGCACTGAAAATTTCACTATTTGAGTTTAATCACAATATATGCTTCTGTGGATGTCAAAACCCTTTAAAGTTTAGTGTTTCTGTTATGTAGGCCTGAATTTGGATTTGGGAAATGGTATTATGAAGGACTATGAACATCTCTGGGATACTGTATCAAAGTTGGTAAGAAAGTTTGATGTGGGAAAGCCATTTCCTGTGAGAACTACAAAACTTAATTTTCTTAGCAAGAATCCATCACCAATCAAAGGTAATAGATTCCTAACTTAATTTAAGATAAAAGCATTGTTACTTTGAAAATGTTTGTTTATACTCAATACTGCAAGTGCATTTTAATAATTATAATGTCCTTAGGGTGATGTGCTATGATTAATTTTGAAGATTTATATTTTGCTTGCAATTAATATTAATGCCAATTAAAACCCTAGATATATGTGAATTCCACTTCTAGCTACCTATGGAAGTCTAGATCAACTAAAAATATCTCTTTGCCAAAATCTTGAGATAAGACTCAACATCATTTTACTTAATTATGGCTAAGTGCAATAAGTAGAATGGGGGACCAGCAAGGTAACAACATGTAGTTCAACACTTGTGAGGCTGAGGATCACTTGAGCCAACTTACCAGCCTAGGCAACACAGTGAGACCCTGCCTCATAATAAAAACAAAAACGAAGGAGAATTTTCAAAGAAAAAAGGGAGAGCTAACAGCCCTTTCAGAAAGTCAACCCAGGCCACTGGATTTCCTGTTTTGACTTAGATGCTTGAATCCTAACTAGGGGCAAGGAAAAAAGACAAGGTGGTGTTAGAACTGATAAAGCTGAACAAAGATAGGTCCCTTAGGAGCAAACCTTAAAGCTTAGGTCTCCCCAGACCTGCCTTTCGGCAAATTTATCTCACTGGGCCTGGAGCAAAATAAATTACTCTGAAAATTTGGGGTTTAAATTTGAACTATTAATGGGGTTGAGGCAATTCTAAGCCAGAAAATTAAAGTGAGTAAAGAGATGTGGAAAATTCCTATGAGGAACAAATCATAAACCCTGGTTGTATAGGATTCTTCGTCAAATATGTATGCAAATACAGATTTATAAACCAAGGAAATAATTTACTAAGAGCAAAGAAGTAGAACTAGAATGCTTAAGTACTTCAGATTTTGTAATTATCATAATTATTACATATGTTCTGTATGTGTGTTTTAAATTACTTAAGAAATTAAATATAAAAGTTGAAATATGAGAAAACAGCAAAAGACTTGAAAGCGTTATTCACATTTTAAAATAACCAAATTTGTAAAAATGAAAATACTGTCTCTGAATGGGTTAGAAAGCTAATTGGATATTGCTGATGGGAGAATTCGTTAACTAGAAATACCTGGAAAGTCTTATTGACACTTAGGGTTGAGGATGTAGATCAGTTGTAGAGTGCTTGCCTAGTATGTATCAGGCCCTGAGTTCAATTTCCAGCAGAGAAAAAATAGAAATACAGATGAAAAATAAACATTAATATGCTAAATGAAGTAGGACATAGAAAGAAAAACACTGCATGATATTAATTATATGTGGAATTAAAAAAACAATGTTGGGTTGGGAAGATGTATGTCAAGGGTACAAATTTAAAGTTATTTTGCATAAGTCTGGGTATCTAATGTACTACATGAGGAGTCCTAGACATTTCTACTGTGAGTTCTGGTGAATCACATTGAATATTGTATTGTATACTAGTGATTTGAGCAGAGAATGGATTTCAGGAACTATTACTACCAAAACAAAACACAAACAAAGGAAAAAAAATAAAAATTGGCACAACATCTTAGATGATGTGTATGTAAATTTGCTTGACTGTATTGTCATTTCACAACATATATCAAGATAAGTACACCAAAACAAGATGTTCACATTAAATATATACAATAAAAATCTCAAAAGAGTTATTAAGAGACATGAGAATAGAAAGAAATTGAGCTTCTGATTCATTTGGAGATTCAGAAGGAAAAAATAAACTAACGTGAGTTAGGTGATTTTTAAAGGAGTAAACTCAGGATCCCAAGTGGGACAAATTAAACGCATGTACATAAACACTCACAGACAACACATGGAAAAATTATAGAATGTGCAAAATAAAGAATATTGCAAAAAAACCAGAATTATCTACAAAGGAATAAAAATTATTACAGCAAATGCCTTCTCAATAACAATGAAAGATGTCAGAGTGGAGGGGAATTATAAGTAATACTTGAAATACCTAAGGAAGAACGAGTTATATATATATATGATGTTCATAGAAAACATAAATTGATTTACCTATCACAAAATCACTGAAGAAATTCTATATGATGAATTTTGGAGAGAAAAAATGATCCAGAGGAATACGAGAAAGAAAGCTACTGGGAATTTAGGGCATTTTGACGTAGTATGTTCTCAGAATTTTGAACTCAGGTTGAGTTCACCAGAGAAAGATCATTGAGTGCAGGTAGCTTATTGATCCTAAGAAGATCCTGTAAGGGAGTGGCTAGAGTAGATCAGGAAATGAAGAGCACCAAAGCAGGATATGTACATCTGCAGGATATGTGCAGACTACTGTGGCATCTACAGGTGGATTTTACTGGGAATCTTGAAAAACTGTACAGACTCTCTCTGGGTTGTCTTATGTTAAGAGCACGACAGCTGAGGTACTTATTGTCCAGCTCCTGTCATGATGGGCTGATGGCTATTCTTAGTGCCTCTGACCTGCTTTACATTGGTTGTATGTAGAAAACAGCTCAGGTAGAGTGGCAGGGGTTCTCAAAAACACAGGAACTGTGGGCCCCACGGAGTAACTGGCAGAACAATGGCAGTTTATCTAGAATTATGAGCCAGGCATTATATAAAAAGCCATTCATTAGCCTATTATCATAGACATCAGATGGATCTAGCATATATGTCTATCTGTCATGTATTCATCATTTAGCTATTTTTGAGTGTTTATAAAATATAGGAGAACACAGAGAATGCCAGCAAATAATCTCATCACCATCTGTATTTTTGCTTACTTTTAAATTTTGTTTTTGTGGAAGTGTACATGAGTGTATAATATCTCTGTGTGATGATTCGTCTTTAAATTCTTTGTCTTACAATAGAGAATAATAAAAGGAATAAATATTTGAAAATGAGACACATGGGCATCTATCTATATGTGTATCCATGCATGTGTGAATGTATCTATTTATCTACCCACTCTACATCCATCCATCCATCTACCCACCAAAATATCTAAAGGATATCTATTTCTTTATATTTTGCTGTGTTCTCCAATTTTTTAATATGGAGATAGTTTTATGAAAGAGATTGGAATTAATGAGCATAAATAAGTTCAATGTAAAAAAATTTAATGTGAATTTTGGAAAATCATGTTGAATGTTCCTGTATGAAAGTTTCACATTTGAACTTATGTTATTATTTTATTTTACAGATAGCTCTCAGAAAACAATGCCTAATTTGGGTTTTATTCCAATGTCATCTAAGTTGATTGATGAGTTTGCGGGAGACATTTTGAAAGATTTGCCTTTCCTAAGGAGGTAGGGGGCTGCAAAATATGCCTCAATATATACTTATAGGGAATGAATGAATTATTTAAGGATTTCTGAAATGCAGCAGGTTAAATACAGTACATTACATGGAATATGTGTTTGTATCTCAAACATTTTAATATAAAGTGTTAAAATATAAAATATTTATATTTTTATATTAAAATATAAAAAATGTCCTTTGATCATTTCTATGTAAACAACCATGTGATTTTAGTGTGAAAATAAACCACTCCAGCTACACGTTTTTAATTAATGAGTTAGTTAGTGAATGTTTGTTGATGTTGATGGGACAGAGAGACATGGAGTGCTTCTGGTTTCTTAAGCCTCTAATAAACTGTTGTTTGGGCTCTGTCACTTATTTGGTGTCACAGAAAGAGGAAACGGAGCTCTATGGTTTTCAAAGTTATTATTATAGGATGAAATCTGTGCTTTGGTATGTTCGGAGGCATGCAGCTTAAAATACGCACATATTTCTTTTTTTATCTTACAGCGATGATCCTATTGTTACTTCAATTGTTAAACAAAAGGAATTTGATGAACTTGTGCATTGGCACTCTCACAGACCCCTCAGTGATGATTATGACAGGACAAAGCCCAACTTTGGTGGTGAGCTCTGTGACTCTAGTGAAATAAACTTAAGTCTACTTTACTTTCTGCCCTTTATTTAATAGTGAAAATTGATCACATTATGAGTCACAAATTAAAATTTTTGAATAAGAAATAATCTATGAGATAATTAGATGTATACCAGGAATGATGATAATGAAAAATTTCCCCTTTGCCTGATGACTGTCACTTATGTGTAGGTTTGTAAGTGTTTGTAGATGTCTCAGAGGAAGCACACAAATATGGCATTTGTCTCAAGAGCTAAGGAGTGTTTTTAGGAAAGATGGTTTGTGGTTTAAGAAATCTGTATTCCTTGAAGTCAAATATACTGAGATCAGTTCCTGACTCTGTGGCTGTGGTCTAGAGTAAGGATTTTTCTAAGTAATGATATAAGAAATCAGAATATTAGATAGTTTTTTCTTCTTGATTCTGCCACTGCCTATTCTTAACCTTGTTCACAGAGCAGATTTTCAGAGAATCTGCCTTTTTTTTATTTTTGGTGGCATCACCCTGATATTTATTTTTTGAAGTAGGCTATGAAAAAATGTTTTGTCACTTCTATCTTTTAAGAAAGGTAAAGAATTATTTTACAAAAAGAGACAGCTTGATTTAAGATTCTCTCTTAAACCAAAGTAATCAGATTAAATTACTGTTATACACTAGAAAGAAAAGCACATGTGTGTGATGTGGAGTGAAAATTAGAATGCTGCTAAGAAAAATACAGTAATGTATATCTTAAGTTTTTTCTTTTTCAGAAAACCCTAAGGACCCTTATGTTCTTAAAAGCATACAAAAGCTTCATCGCTTTCAAAGATTTTATGGGAACTCTTTAGAATCAGTCTCCACAAAACTCATTGTAACTCAAGGTGTTAAGCCAAAGAAGGATTTTAATGAGTCCAAGAACAAAAAGGCACATGTAAGGTTCTACAAATTCTATCATTTAAAAATTTTCTTAAGTTACTATTTGTTCATTTCTTTGGTGTTTTCTTTCTATGAGAGACTTTTTCTTTTTATATAACCAAACATCCATATCTTACTTGCTAAAAAAAAGAGATAAGAGGGGGCTAGTGCTCTGGCTTTTTTAGTTTTTACTTCCTCATTTCAATGCCTGAATCTGGCCTTTTAAATATTTATTAAAATAATATAATTTCCCTATCTCCTCATCTATCTATTGTGCCTCATTTCCCCTCCCTACGACTTTGGTCCCTGTTAATCTTAAAAGGGGTTGCTGAGGAGCAACAGTCCAATCTTCTGTAGCTTCTTCCTGTTGAGTTTGGGTCTTGACCCTACCAAGAAAGGGAGCCAACAAGTTATTTCCCTATTTTAAATCTAGGAGGTGACAAGGGAAATTTAGTTGGCAGAATATTTAGTTGACAGGCTGGCAGGATCAGGACCAGGAGATATCAAGTTATTCTTCTTTTTTTCCATTTTGTAACCAATTTTATTGCTCATGAGACCACTCAACTGATCTTTTACTTTTTTATTTGTGAGGACCAGGAGTCCTTTTCTCTTTCTTTTTTTTTTTTCTTAGAGATATTATAAAATGACAAATTGAAAAAATTTCTTTATGACGCAAGATATGAAGACTGAAAAAATTCTCATGCTTCTCCCTTCCCATAATTAGGAAATTCAAAAAAATTTCTCAAATAAATTAAACACACTTAGTACTTTATAAGTGTATTCTCCTACCAGCAGCTTAATTAGTCTACATACTCAAGATAAGTGAACATTGTACATGACAAAAGGCTAGGCCTCATCCTGTCCTATGGACCAAACAAAGAGAACACTTGCAAGATTAGTGACTGAAAACTCAAATATTATTGATTGGAATTATATAATTAGAGAGTGATAGCAGCTACATTTAACTTCACTATAGGATATTGGAAAGTTTGTCAGAATTCTCTTACTAATAAGATTCCCTAATTTGTTTTTATAAACTATTAAGTTGGATTGGTAAAAGCATAGTAAAAGTTGGTCCATATTGAGTTTAAGTCAATTGGAAACATTTATCTAGATAGAGAAAATCCCTTGTATTTATGTTTGTCCTTCTATCAACTCTTTTCTTTCATTTCCTTTTTTCTTTCTTATTCACTCCTCAAACATTACGGACTAAATATTTTGTGGTTGGGACATATAGACAAAAAGGCACAATCTGTCTTGAGAATCTCAAGCTAGAGAGAATGACAAGCAAAATTATAAACACAGTGTGTCTTAATGAGTGCTTTAATAGATGCTCCAGCATGTCAGGAAGGGCTTTGTGGTAGAAATATCTTGATCAAATAGGGAATGGGAAGGTGACTTTGGAGGAATGAAGAGGCTGGGCAATTCCAGAGAGAGTAGCAGTTGTTACTACATAGAGATGTGAAATGGTCTAATGTTTCTTCATTTCATTGCATTTACTCTTTTGTTTATGCAATTGACACCAGTTGGAAATCTTGAAAAATATCCACAGAGAGACTTTATACTCACCAAATTGAATTGTCCTAAGTTTTTAATTAAAAGAAACATAATTTTAAGGATCAACACTTTTATGCCTATTCAAGAAAAGGATGATTGTCAAAATTGTAAATATACACTTAAAAATATCACACTCAAGAAATGTCATTGTGGAATATTGCAAGATATGTTCATTTCCTTTTGGGCAGGAGACCAAGGCTCAAATAATTACTCGAGAAAATAAGAAGAGGTTACTTGCCAAGGAAGAACAAAAAGAAGAGCAAAAATGGAATGCTCTGTCATTTTCTATTGAAGAAAAAATGAAAGAGAATTTAGACTCTGGAATAAATGACCTGGAAGACTTTTTGAAATCATGCAAAAGCAACTCAGTGAAAGTTCAAGTAGAGATGGCAGGATTAACAGCTTGCTTGAAAGCTTGGAAAGAGCACTGCCGATCTGAGAGTATGTGATTCTGTTTTCTTATTTTGGTGAAGTGGAGAATTAATACAAATATAATGGTGATGGTTGTCATTTGTGAACTGGAACTTTGTGTAATAAGAGTTACATGTATTATCTGATTTTATGTATTATTACCTCTTTTATCAATGAGCAATGACATTTCACAAAGAGTCTAAACAGCAAATACACAGAATATTTGTAAACACAATCAAAGGTAGGTTTAAAAATAACTGCTTACCGATTAGAGAAATGACTAAGGGAACCAACAAAGGTGGTGAGGCACCCACAGAAAACTTGTTAGTTACTTTTGAGTTCCAAAACATAAGCATTTTCTTTTGGATAAATTGATACGCCTCTTTGCCTACTCTGTTGAATTTTTCCAAAACTGCTGGGAATTCCATGTGCTAGATTTTGCAATTTCTACAAAGGCTATTAGAAAAGAAAAGGGACAGAAAGAGGAAGATAAGGTTGAGATAGGATTGAGTAGAGATGTGTAAACTGATAGCTGGTAAAATGTTCATATTTCATAGTACTCCCAAATCGACAGTTCTTTTGAGTAAACTTATTTGATTACTCACTCTTGGAGATTTCTACTCTTGAATCCATTTAACAATTGACTCCCAGGTTCTCCCCTGTTACTGCCCCCAAATTTTATTCTGACACATTTAATGTGCTGGAGCAAAACAGTGAGCGGCATAAGACTTAGCTTAGTATATGTTTTCCCCCTCAGCCAAAATATTGAATCAGTATTTGCCATTGGCTACCACTAAAGAGATCAGAAGAGTGGCTTGAAGAACATAATGGTTTATTTCACTCGTTTAAATGAAGTTCACTGCAGCTGCTCTGGCAGCCCTGCAGTGTCATCAGTGATCCAATTTCTCTATCTTGCATTCTATTATCCTTGGCATGTGGCTTCCATTCTTCAAGTTGCCTTATGTTCCTCCTATTTCTAGATAACAGCATTCTAGAAAATATTAGAATAAAGGAAGGAAGGCAAAAATCCTCTCTGTAGTTCCTTGTGTCTCTTTAAGGAACTTTTCTAGTCATTGACAGCTCACTAATGTTTACAGATCATTAGTGCAAACTTAGTCACAGGTCACATCTTATGACAAGGGATGTAGTAAATGTAGACTTTTACCTGGGTACATGCAAGTTCCCAGTAATATAGAGAAATAAATAAAGAATTTTTGGTGATATACATGTTGAGTACAGAACTACATATTAGTTTTTGAACAGATGTCCTTATCCTTATTTGTCATCTACCTGAATTCTGCTTATCCTCCAAATTTACTTCATGAAATCGTCTCATAGTCTTCTTCAATTGGGCTCACATAACACCTATAGTTTCTAATGTTCAATGTGGACCAATAAAGTATTATACATTGTCTTTCTAAGTGAACTAGAAGCTCCTGGAGGGTAATGGCCCTGTATTAATTATCCCAGGTAGCCTTTTATAGCATTTAGTAGGCTTTGATAATACTTGTTAAATAAATAGGAAATAAGTCGATTAGAAGAATGGCAGAAGCAAAACAGCCCTGATGTGGTAAATATAAAAAGATCAGCAGAAGGGAGGAATCAAAAGGATGTATATGACTCTAAAGATTGAGAGGCATTATCAGTCTGGATCTGGTATTTGGGATAGATAGATTGAATTGAAGGGCTCCAATGATTACACCAAATACTTGTCTGTGGTCAACAGTAAGGCTCAAGAAATGTTGGTAAGTTTTTAAACCGATATTTAAAAATAATACAAGTATTTTTGAACATAATAGAGAAGACATAAAAATAAAAAGGATTTATTTTTGTCCATGAATTTCTGCAAAATTCAGCTTTAATGATCTTATTTATGTCATGGTCTATGGGAGTTTTCTTCTTTCCCCAGAACTTGTCACAGCTCCTTCTCAATAATTCATGGAGATGATAACTATTTTTTAAATTTTATTTAGTTTTATCTACTCCCAAACTTCATTTAATTCCAAGTAAGACAGTGAACTTAATTAAAATTGATAAGCTTGATGATTTATAAAAATTTATCATTTTGCTGGCTTTTATAACAAATTTTATTGTTTATTCTTTACCAAGGTGAAACCACAAAAGATTTAAGTGTAGCTGTTCAAATGATGAAAAGAATCCACTGCTTGATGGAAAAATACCCAGAATTTCTTCAAGAAGCTGAATGGAAACTCATAGCCAAATGCCTTAAATATTTAGGGTTTGATGAGTTGGCAAATTCTTTATGCCAAACTCAGGTAATATTTTTAAAATAGTCCCATTTTAATAGAGTAATTATTAGGTATACATAAGGTGTCTCTCAAATGCAGTCATGTCTCATAGGATACTTTTACTAAAATACTATCAGTGTTATCATTTTACTAATATAACTGTCCAATATTGAAGTAATCTAGAATTAGAAAATATTTGCTGTTCAAACAGATTAAATGCATTTCTGCACACCTCTAACACTAATACTATATTTAATTCTGCTAAAACAGCTCTACACTATAGTATGATTGTTCAGTTGTTTCAAAATATATCAGATTGTGGCCACAAATGACACAATGAATATTTGAAAATCTTGATGTTTACTAACTTGTTCACAGCTAAGGGGATGATTTAAGTGGTAACATCTTCATCAAGATTAAAAAGTGGTAAAATGCTTTTCACATATACAGAACTTTGTGACAAATATTTACAAATATTTAAATTATTTAAATAATGTTATAATTTAAAATCACTGTCAAAATGGTCTTTTGAAATAATGTAGGATGTAGATGACATAAAGGAGAAGAAAAGGAATAAGTATTCAGTTGGCATTGGGCCAGCTCGATTTCAACTTCAATACATGGGGCATTATTTGATACGAGAGGAAAGAAAAGATCCAGATCCGAGGGTCCAGGACTTTATTCCTGACACATGGCAGGTAATGTTGTAAATGAAAAAAATCTTACATTTTCTTATTATATATGAACTCAAGAGTTTCTTTATATTGTGGCTGTATATATTACATTTGGCATGGAGTTCTTAATAGTGAGTCATGTCATTTAAAAATACTTAGCTATTTAAAATGCCAAACGTGGACTCTTTTTTCCCATTTAAAGAATGTAAAATATTTATGCAGATCATTTCCTTGGAAGTCTTTGATGAATTCACATACATAGATTTTAAGTTTAAAGATGTCTGTGCTGCCCAGTTGTGACATGCAGCAGCATGTAGATTTTTTTCCTGTGTCAGTAGGACTTCATATGTGAGAATACAAATGTGCAAAGAGAAATTTGGTCACTTTAAACATAGAGATAACTGTTCATATGTTTATAACTGCACGTGCCACATAGTAGCTATTCTTCTATAAGAATACTGAAAATAAATATTGATAGCTATAAAATTTGGGAAGCTGCATACACTGAACCCTATAAAATACTAATAAAATGAGCATTCATTAGAAAAATGCAATTTTGTAATTTCAATCTAATAGACTGTCTCATTCAGAATCAAATTGTATAAGTCAGCTTTTCAGTACTGTAATGAAATACCCAAGGAAGCATAATTTTGTAAAGAGATTTATTTAGCTCTTTGAATCTCCAGTTCTGGAGATTCAAAGTCCAAGATCAAGTGGGTCCAGTGGTTTGGCCTCTGGTGAAGGCCTTAGAGCAGAATGATATCACATCGTGGTGGGAGCACATATGTGAAAAGCATTATATCTTCAAAGAGAGAGCTAGGTGGGGCTGGGTTCAGGCTTTTAACAACAACCCTCTCTTGAGAACTACTACAGAGTCACAAAAGAAGTACTTTCCAAAAACATGCCTTCAGTGACTAAGGACCTCCCACTAGACCCCATCTCTTACAGGTTCCAATACCTTCCAATACTGCTGTTTTGGAGTTCAAGCTTCTGACATGAGAACTCTTGGGTGATGTAAAAACATATGCAACCTGGTGCAAGGACTTTGCCTTTTCTATATTAATAATGACGGGCTGCCTTAAGCAATTCATGAGCAGGAGAATTGATTCCTTCTTTCAGTGTAGGGTACAAGGCAGTCAAATGCTCTCCATTAATATCACTTATGTTATTTTTCTGATTCTCACTGCACTCTGAGGTGTGGTTGAGAGGGGACTCAGATTCAATAGAGTATATAGGTTGGAAATTTGGGGGACATCTCTCCATCTTGTGCACTTTATAAAGGTTTAAAATTCTTTTGATTATTCATCATTTGGATGAATAAAAGCATAAGTTGCAAGGATGAAACTCCCACACATCCTCAAGAGTAGGTACTTGGCTTTCTTGTATAAAGAAAGTAGAAGATAACAGAAAAATTGAAAATCTTTGAAGCTACTTCTTGTCAACCATGTGTTCACTGTCATAAGATATATATTGACTATTTCTTAGATCTTTATTTCTCTAAGCAGTTCTGTACCTAACAACTACACAAAAGCACAAATAACTGCTTTTTCCAATAGCAAGATATTTCATTCAGGCTCATTCTCCATTTTTCACACATAAAACTTGCCTTTCAGATGCTCAAAACCAATAAATTGTATTCTCTGAGAAAATGACAGGAGCTCATTAGATTTTCCAGTTTTTTTCCACCTCCCAGTCATTCCATCTGAGGTTTAGAAAATCATATTGGATAAATTTTTACTATACTTGCTTTGGTAACATGTTATTTGTATTACTGACACAAATCATGCTCTGAATCCTGCAGCGAGAGCTCCTTGATGTTGTGGATAATTATGAGTCGGCAGTAATTGTTGCCCCAACGTCCTCAGGCAAAACCTATGCTTCCTATTACTGCATGGAGAGAGTGCTGAAGGAGAGCGATGAAGGGGTGGTTGTATATGTTGCACCCACAAAGGTAGGGCTCAAGTGAAAGGAACATTCTCTTTCATTCCTGAACTTCCCCTTTAAAAATACTGCACACGGTCACATGGTAAATGTCATTCAGTTTATTGCTTAATCCTGAATTTTCTTATCCCAGTTTCAGAGGCTAAAATAACCCATTCCTTAGAACTATTACAAGAAAAAAAATTCGAGCTTTGCAATCTTGGCGTTAAGCATTATGCTCAAATTGAGAGAAGCATCTATACTTTCCTGGAAAGTGTTGAGTTGCCTAAGAACTTAGAGTTGCTTGTGCAGTTTGTGGGTTTGTAGAACATATCTAATGTGCTGTTGGGTGTCAGGGGATGGCTTATTTTTCAAGCTAGGTTATTTTACCAAATTTCTTTTAAGTCTAGTACTGCTTGATGTTGAATTGAGAAACAGAATGATTTTTGTTATGTAGGAGAAAAAAGTGTGACTTATGAGAAGTATATGTTTGTATCTTTTCACTCACAACCCTTTAATATGATTACTCTTAGAGTCAAATTAGTTGGAGTGACTACTGTTGCAGATAAAAATGGGATTTGACTACATTTTGGTTTCTAGGAAATCTTGTAGTGTTTAATGAGTTTAACACTATGATTAGTTGAAAATAGTGTTTTATTTCTTTACTGTGGCTTTTTTGATTTTCATGATTACAAAAGCAATAAGTGATCAGTGCAGAAAATTGATATAAAATATCAAGAAACATTTAAAAGGAGTACAAATGTAATTGGTGAGTTGACCACTGCCAAATTACTCTTCTCATGGTTTAAATGCATTTTTTATTCCCACTGGCAGTATATGGCCATGCACATTTTCTTATCTTTTCAAATGTTCCTATTGTTCTTTAATGAGATGTTTTTTCTGCATATGGATACGTGAAAACTACTATCTCCCATTTAGATTAGCATTTCTGTGATTAGTGATTTGGACACTTTTATGTATGACTTTGGGGCACTGGTATTTCTTTATTCATGAACAACTTGATGCATTTGCCCACTTTTTCCTTTAGGAAAAAGGTTGTCTTTAAAATATTTAATAAAGTTTAAATAATGCTTATGACATTGTTTTCAGACATAAATCATGATGAAATATGCTTTCACATCATTTTGTAATTTTACTTTATTATGGTTATTTTAATGATACTAAAATCTTTGTATAAGTCAGAATTACCAGTATTTTCACTTGCGATTTTGTGTGTATGTGTGTGCTCAAATATATGAAAATGTCACTTTCTAGTATCTTTTTGGTTATATTGTAAAAGTCACCTGTTCATCTCTATGGGGTTTTAAATTTTGTAGCATAAAATGTGAAATAGATGTTTGCAGGTCTATAGATTATACAGGTCAGGCCACCTTTGATTCTGAGCAAGGTTCTACTCTTCTTTATGTTTTTACATTCAAGCTTCAAACATCTGGAAGAAGCCCTCAAATATGAAGCACAAGTCAACGTTGTCTATTTCTTTTTTTTTTTAACTGAACTTTTATTGTGAGATAATTGGAGATTGACATACAGAAATAACACAGAGAGATCTGTGTACCTTCTACCCTTTTCTTTAGAAGGGAAGTGTCTTGAGGATGGTAGCAAAGAAGATGCTGGTGTCATTACAGTCAAGATACAGCACATTTCCTTCACCAGGGAGCCCTCAGGGTTCTCTTTCATAACTACACTCACTTCCTTCCCATCCCTCCTTACCTACTGCCTCATTGTCCTTTTCTTTCTGTACTTGAAAAGTGGTGTGTTACTTCCTTCTGGTCTCCATGGTTTCTGATGAGAAATCTACTGGTTTTAAAATGGTTTCCCCCTTCCTTTTTGTTTTGGTGGTACTGGGGTTTGAACTCAGGGATTTGCACTTAACTTTGTCTATTTCTTATTTGCCCTTCCTTCTATGTTAGTTTCAGTTTCTTTCTAAGTCTTGGTCATCCAAGAATCATGCTATTCATGTTTATTTTTTCTTCTCGTGTAGGCAACACTTCCTGTTTTTCTTTCAGATATAGACTTTCTTTTTCCTGTTTTATTTTAGTTGAAGTTTATCAATTAGTTCCAGATTCTTCCTCCATTATCTCAGAGTAAGCACATTAGCATATAATATTTAGAAAGATGGGTAGAAAAAAGGGTCTTTAAGCTTTCTGCAGTCACAGCAGAACATACCTTTGGACAGTTTCCACAGTTCCTTGAGATTTCACCTATTTATACTTTGTTTTGTTACTAATCAATCTGTTTCCGTGTCATTTAGGCCCTTGTTAATCAAGTAGCAGCAACTGTTCAGCATCGTTACACCAAAAATCTGCCAAGTGGTGGAGCTCTTTGTGGTGTGTTCACAAGGGAATATCGTCAAGATGCTCTAAACTCTCAGGTAGGGTATAGTAATTAATAAAGTTGATATCAAATTACATAACAGTATTTATACATTTTTGACTAGAAATCCAGTATCTTTAAAAGGCCTTGTAGAAATAATTTCCTAGAATTTATGAAAGATCAGATGACTTTATAGAAAATGAAATTCTGTTACATTCCAAAGTGTGAGAAATAGAAGTCATGTTTCTTTAAGGAAACATATTTTGATTTCAGATTTCAGTCTTAGTTTTTTAGATTATGTTTGTTTAGAAGTGGGTTCAAGGTGATCCAAAAAGCTCATTTATAAAAATTAACAACAGCAATTTCTGATTATAATTAGCTTATTTTTAATTCCTTGTTAAGGATATTCATTATAGTTAAAAACTATTGTATTATGGTGAGTATACCTGTTGTTAATTAAATCATAGATAGTTTTCTGTCTTACTGAACTTGCTGATCAATAATTAAGACTACACAAAAAAGGAACACATGATCATAGAACACTGTGTAGTTGACATGGAGATGTGCTACTCATATTGGCTTTTGGGGAAGGATTTGTTTCCCAGATTTAGGGCACTGTGGTCAAGATAGGTCCCAGCTGTCAATGTCTCCAGTCCTGCCTCCATGGTCCATATCCTGTGATCGAGCTAGGAAGGGGTATAAATAGTGGACCAGTTCAGCTTGATGTGGACCAATACTGATAGATGATATGCACTCCACAATTCTGAGCCACCTTGGCTGAGGTTCCATCAAGTCTTCTTGGCAGTTTGATCCCTCTCTCTGCCCAGTCCTACTTCCCTCACTGTTGACTGTTAACAACCATCTTCTAACCCAAACTCTATGTGAGGATTAGGTTTTAAAGAAACAAACCTGTGACTCTGGTCACATTAAATTCTGACTGTTAATAAACAAATATTTAAAGTTCAAATGTGATATTTTACAATTTTTGACCTATGAAAATTCAAGTTTCATGTGCTTCAAACTAATACAACAAATTTTACTTATTTATTTATTTGTTCATTTATTCACATGTGTATACATTGTTTGGGTCATTTCTCCACCCTGCCCTCCTCCCCTACCTTCCTCTCCCCTGCTCAGTTTCAGGCAGGTCCCGTTCTGCCCTTGTGACTGATTTTGTTGAAGAGAAGACATAAGGATAAGAAAGACAAAGAATTTTTGCTAGTTGAGTTAAGGATAGCTACATGAGAGATACCTACTATTGCTCTCATAACAAAATTTTAAAGAAACAAATTTTTAAAGTAATATTAGATCATAATTATCAGCAGGTATATTCATGATTCATAAGCCTCTCTTATGTAGTTTTATAACTATGTCTGTACATGTTTAATGGTCAGAATGCCATATTATTATTATTTGTAGGTACTTGTCACAGTCCCTGCCTGCCTTGAAATTTTGCTGCTAGCTCCTCATCGCCAAAATTGGGTGAAAAGGATCAGATATGTTATATTTGATGAGGTAGGTTTGGTATTTCTCTGGGTTAATTTTCTAATGTAATGAAGATCCTTGATGTTTCAGGGCATCTGTCCAATTGGATGCAGTGCAGATTTGGGAGGAACTTTCTTCTGAATAGTTTATCCAGTGAACCATTGGCTTCCTTATCCTATTATAATACAGCAGTGCATATTGGTTTACCCTGTAGAGCTCCATATGCGAGAGGAACTTTTCACTGGAGACTACTCTTTCAGAGGGAATGGAATTCAAGTGCTATGGCATAAGTTTCCCTTGATAGAGATTTCAAATCCAATGCTTGATCTCATAAGCAAAGAATTTTGGGCTCCACCAAATGATGTATGTGATGTCATGGATGTGATGTCAGTTACACAAGCTAGTTCATCAGTCATGGATTTAACAGAAAACAAATGGTACACTTAAGCTACATTTCAAAGATGTGTGTGAGGAAATCCACAAAGGTTAGTGCTTTAACCCAGAGCTAGAAGCTCATCCCTAGGCTTATAGAGAGAGATAAGGTGAAGAAAATGTTTTCTTAAACTTGAATGAAGATTCTGACTGAGTTGGCTACATGGAGAGTAGTTACCTTGGTTGAGGAACACAGTTGACTCAAGATAACCTTGGGCAAAGGGAGCCAAAGGAACCAACCTCAACCTCCTTCTCTTCTCATCTTCTGATACCTTACCGAGGTCATCTGTTGGCCAAACCCTATGGAATAGGAGGACATTAGAACCCTTCTGAAGTAGTATCCGTAGATCAGTTTTCCTGGGAAGAGTGAGGTGGAAAACAATGTAGATATAAGAGGGTCAAATGGAAGATATTTAGCAAAGTTATATAGTAGCATCATTAAGAATATTTCTTCAAAGAAATGTGGAACATTATGAAAAGATACACTATTTTAGTCCAAAGAATTTTTTGTGGTTGCAAATTAATTTGTTCATTCAATAGGTAGTTTTCAAGGTGAGGACTGTATAAAGCATATGATATCCTTGGAGACCTTATATTGGGCAGAATCTCTTTCTTGTTGTTGTTTTCATAATGGGTGGGGTACATGGTGGCATTTACAAAAGTTCTTACAATATATCAAATATATCATACTTGAAGTTTTAATTTAAAAGGGAAAAAAGGTAAGGTAAGAAGCCTGTATTTAACTTGCCTTCTCTCTCTCTCTCTCTCTCTCTTTCTCTCTCTCATTGGGGAAACAAGTAATATGGAAGCTGTTACTATGAAGGGTATGCTCAAGAAAAAAAAAAAAAGGCTAATGTGTGATGTGTATGGATCATAGTAAAGACAGGAGAGAATGACTTGAGATAAAGCAAGAGAGGCAGCAGTAGCCAAATTAGGCCAGGCACTATTTACACTATTAAAAAGTTTACATTTGTTCCATGAGCAATGGAAAGAAATTTAATTAGGAACATGATCAGATCTAATTTATCTTTGAAACATGTCATTTTGGATATGACGTGAAGAACAGAGGGGCCAGAAAGGCAGCTAGGATAGTAGTCAAGAGGATATTGTAGTGCAACTGAGATGTGATGATGACTTGGTTGGCAGTAGACATGGAGAGAAACACCTAGGTTTGAAAGAAAGTTTCAAAAGTAAAATAAAGAAGAATTATTGGTGAATTGGTTATGAAGATTGAGGAAAATTCCAGTGTTCAGATTTTCTATTGACAAGATTTTTTCAAATACTTATTTAAGCTTGATATGGTCAATTACAGGTAGTAGGAAAGTATGCATGATGATTTGAAGTGTTATTTTCATTTTCTATTTTTAAATCCACCTTTTAATTGAAAAAGTTTTTTCTTTAATAGATTCACTGCCTTGGTGGAGAAATTGGTGCAGAAATCTGGGAGCATCTCCTTGTTATGATCAGATGTCCTTTTTTGGCTCTGTCGGCTACCATAAGTAACCCTGAACATCTCACTGAGTAGGAACTGGGTTTCAGTTTGGAAAGAATACTTACCTATTTTGATTGTTTGAATTTCATACTTTGTGTATGGGTTCTGTAAAGTTGCATAACTTTCTGGTTAACTAATAACTTAGCACTATATCTTTAAAGCACTGTCTTTCTAGTACTTTCTGGTAGGTGTTGGCCACCCTCTATAGAGAAATATCAAGGAGCTCCCTCAGTCAGATCTGCAATTGAGTAGGAAATTTCACCTCATATCTATAAGAAATGATAGATATATTTTTTTTGGCCTTTACCAAGAAGCCAAAAATAAAGTGACGTCATGACACTCTCAGCCATGGACCTTGACCTATGATCTCACTTTGTAGACATTTGGAAAGATAGAAAAACTTAATTTTTGTCATTGAGCTTGTTTTATTTGCCTAATAATAACAATTATAGCAACCAATCCTATAGTACCTCCTATGTATACTGTTATAAGTACTTTGCTTATAGTAGTTTATTTTAAATGCCAGAAATGCTTATGATTTACTATTATTTCCATTATTATTATTAGATAATAGTACTTCTACTACTACTACTTCCATTTTAAAATGTGAAAAATAAAGCATAAAAAAAATTAAGTGATTCAACCATGAGCCACAGCTGGCAATAAAGAGGCTGAGATTGAATCTCAGATAGTCTGGCTTTAGAGCCAATTCCCTTATCTGCAACCTGTAAGTCACATAAAATTGTCTTTAATTTTGTGGGAAATATTTCCATTTTTCTGCCTAAGTAATATGTAAATTTACTTTTAAAGATGGCTACAATCAGTGAAACGATACTGGAAAGAAGTAGACAGTACAATAGGAAAACGTATGGCTTCCAAAAGAAATGGTGGCTATGGTGCCAACTTTCCCAAAGACTACATGCAAGTAAAACAGTCATATAAAGTTAGACTTGGTATGTTTTGTATATTCATATAAATTAACTTTATTTCTTACTTTAAAATTATTTCAGTTATTACATTTCTGTTAATTTGGAAAATCTTACTATTACTTTTTATAGTGCTCTATGGAGAGAGATACAATGATTTAGAGAAGTATATATGTTCCATAAATAACAATGACATTTATTTTAATCATTATCACCCATGTGCTGCACTGACGACAGATCATGTAAGTAATAACTTTAGCTTTGTTTGTTCTAAGTAATGTTAATTCTTTGTGTATATTATCATTGAAAAGCTGCCTGATTGATACTTATTGGAATTACAGAATAGATATCTTACAACAGATATTTCAATATTGATTTTAAAATTAACAGGAATGTTCTAAATTCATTGGTTCCTCAAAGGTATCTGGATCCACAAAGCTTCAAAACTAATAAAAAATTTAACCTGAATTTTTTGTTAATTGTACTTGTTTTTGGATACAATTTTTGTCCGCTTTCCTTTTGAGCATCCATTTCTGTCCATCCACTTTGGATACAACACTTTTTTCAGTTCAGCTACAGTTCTGTGTGGACAACTCCTTATACATGTGAGAATCTAATCACTATGAATTAGATTAAACAAGAAAAGACACTTATCACTAACATATGAATCACAACACAATCTTTTAGTAGTGAATCAGTAAGTTGGAGGCTTTGAAAGGATTTCAGTTTGGGACATTGAGATGTGAGTGGGGAAAGATTTCTTAAATTTTTCTTGCATATTTCTCCTCCTTTATCGTCTTATTTCTATGAGTAGTTTATTTAAAAATTCTATTACCTGTAAAAGTGACTATTAGTCAATAGCTTGCCTTCATTCTAAAACCTGAAAAATTGTATATATTCTGTATTTGTCAATCCTTTCTCTTAGTTGTGAGCCAATTGAGTTCTACTGAGGAAGGCATTGCTATGTCTATTGCTTCCAGTGTATTCCCTGCTCTTTCCCGTACTAGCTTCAAGGTTTCAGGTCTTATGTTAAGGTCTTTAATCCACTTTGAGTTTATACTTGTACAGGGTGACAAACATAGATCTAGTTTCATCTGAAACTAGATATCCAATTTACCCAGCAACATTTGTTGAAGATGCTGTCTTTTTCCATTGGATGATTTTGGTGCTTTTGTCAAGAATTAGGTGGGTGTAGCTGCATGGATTCATGTTTGGGTCCTCTGTTCTGTTCCACTGGTCTTCATATCTGTTTTTTCTGCCAGTACCATGCTGTTTTTATTGCTATGGCTCTGTAGTATAGTTTGAAGTTGGGTACTGTGATACCTCCAGTGCTGCTCTTTTTGCTTAGTATTGCCTTGGCGATTCATGGTCTTTTGTGCTTTCAAATGAACTTTAGGGTTGATTTTTCAATCTCTGTGATGAATGTCATTTTGATTTTAATGGGAATTGCACTGAACATGTAGATTACTTTTGGTAGTGTAGCCATTTTTTACTACATTGATACTACCAATTCATGAACTTGGGAGATCTTTCCATCTTCTCTAGTCTTCTTTGATTTCTTTCTTCAATGGTTTGTAGTTTTCCTTATAAAGACCATTCACATCCTTTGCTGAGTTTATTCCTAGGTATTTGATGTTTTTAGACTATTATAAATGGAATTGTTTTCCTACATTCTTTCTCAATCCGTTCATTGTTAGTGTATAGAAAGGCTACTGTTTTTTGCAGATTGATCTTGTATCCCATTACTTTGCTGAAGCTGTTTATGGTGTCCAGAAGTTTTTTTGACTTTCATGTATAAGATCATGTCTGTTGTCTGCAAATAGGGATAGTTTGACTTCTTCTTTATCTATTTGTATTCCTTTTATTTCTTCTTCCTGCATTATTGCTCTGGCTAGAAATTCCAAGATGATGTTGAATAGGAGTGGGGAGAGTGGGCATCCTTGGTTCATTACTGACTTTAGGGAAAATGGATTCAGTTTTTTCCCATTAAGTATGATGTTGGCTATAGGTTTGTCATATATATTCTTTATTATGTTGAGGTACATTCTTTCCATTCCTACTTTCATCAGAGTTTTTATCGTGAAAAGATGTTGAATTTTTCTGCATCTATTGAGATGACTGGGTGCTTTTTGTCTTTGCTTCTGTTAATATGCTGTATTAAATTTAATGATTTGTGTATGTTGAACCATCTCTGCATCCTGGGATGAAGCTGTCTTGGTCATGGTGTATGATCTTTCTGATATGCTGTTGAATTTGATTTGCTATTATTTTATTGAGGATTTTTGCATCTATGTTTATTAAAGATACTGGCTTGTAGTTCTCTCCTTTGTGTGTATGTGTGTGTGTCCATGTCTAGTTTTGGGATGAGTGTGATACTGGATTCATAGAATGAGTTTGGTAGTGTTCCTTCCCTTTCATATTATTTTCATGGTGAAGTTTAAGGAGGGTTGGTATTAGTTCTTCTTTAAAGGTCTGGTAGAATTCAGCAGAGAATTCATCAGGTCCTTGACTTTTCTTTTGTGGGAGATTCTTTACAGCTTTTTAAATTTCATTGCATGTTATAGATTTGTTTAGTGATTAACATCCTCTTGGTTCAATTTTGGGTGGTATTATGTATCTAGAAGTTTGTCCATTTCTTCTAGATTTTCCAATTTATTTGAATATAGGTTTTCAAAGTAGTCCCTGATGATTCCCTGGATTTTCATGGTGTTTGTTGTTTTCTCCTCCTGCCCCTTTTTTTCTGATTTTTATTAATTTGTGTCTTTTCCCTCCTCATTTTAGTCATATTTGCCAAGGGTTTGTCAATCTTGTTTATTTTTTCAAAGAACGAGCTTTTAGTTTTGTTGACTCTTTGCATGGTTTTTTTGGTCTCTATTTTGTTGATTTTGGCCCTTTTATTATTATTTCCTGCTTGCTTTGGGTTTAGCTTGTTTTCTAGGAGTTTGAGATGCTGTATTAGGTATTTGAGATTTTTCTGTGTTTTTAATATATGCACTCATGGCTATAAACGTTCCTTTTAAGACCATTTGCTGTGTCCCACTGGTTCTGATAGGTTGTGTTTTCATGTTTACTTAATTCCAGAAACTTTTTGACTTCCTCCTATTGTGTTGTGGTTAGACAGTATGCAGGGGGTTATTTCAGTTTTCTGATATTTGTTGAGACTTGTTTTTTGCTGTAGGATATGGTCTGTTTTGGAGAAAGTTCCATGTGCTGCTGAGAAATATGTACATTGTGCTGTTGCAGGATGGAATATTCTCTAGACATCTGTCAGGTCCATTAGATCTATAGTGTCTTTCAATTCTAGTATTTCTTTGTTGATGTTTTTTTCTTGATGATTATCTATTGGTGATAGAGGGGCATTAAAGTCTCCCACTATCACAGTGTTGGGGTCTGTCTATGATTTTAAGTCCATTAGTGTATGTTAATGAAGTTGTGAGAACTGACATTGGGCACATGTAAGTTGTTAATTGTTATTTCCTCTTGATGTACTACTTGTTTTGTTAGTATGAAGTGCCCTCTGTATCTTCTGACTAATTTAGGTTTGAAGTCCACTTCATCTGATATAATACTGCTACTCCTGCTTGTTTTGGGGTACCATTACCTTGGTAAACCCTCTTCTACCCTTTCATCCTAACACAGTGTTTGTTTCTGTCAATGCCCATGATTCAAAAATTTGGTCTTTTAATGGGATCACTGAATTCTTGGGTATTCCTTTTGCAGTTCTTGAGACTTTTGTCTAAGGATTCTTCTAATTTTTCTTTAATATCCAGCTTGTCTTTGAGCCCTGAAATTCTGTCTTCTACTGGTTCTTCCACTTTGTTGGAGTGGCTTTCAAATGTATTTTTTATTTGATTTAAGTAACTTTTTGTTTACAGGATTTCTGTTTGATTTTTTTCAAGTTTTTCATATTTTTGTCATACTCCTTTTTCCTATCTTGTATCATCTCCTTTATTTCATATATCTCTTTCTTTTTAATAGTCTCCTTAGTTTCATTTTGGAGTTGTAGAAGTACTCTCTGAGTTAATTTAGTTGTTTCCATGTCTTCTCAAGTTTTTTATTTGTGTTGTCTTTGAGTTTTTGTTTTTTAATGTTCTCTTTAATCTTCTCTTGAAGCTCCTCCGTAAGTACTTCTATGAGATCCTTTTTGAGCTCTTCTTTGAACATCTCTTTATGGACCTCATTAAGCTCGTTAGACATGTTTATCATTAGACATACTTATCACCCAAGTCATACTTGCATGACTTGGGTCAGCAACTGGGTATTCATTTTCCACTGACTCCTTTATTGAACTGTTAATCTTTTGAGGAGTTATATTCCCCTGCCTTCTTCTTCTCCCCATGCATCTACAATGTGCTGTACCCCTATGTTATTAATTGGCTGCTTAGGGGTTTTAGTCACCTGCTATCTTTCCTTGACTTAATTACTGTGCTGTGACTGGCTTAGTTGTTAGCCAGGTTGATGTACTATTTCTGTTCCCTGAACTGGTGGTATAAATTAGCAACAAATTCACTGATTCAATGCCAGACCAATTATTTACATAATATATAGAGAACCCATTGGTGATATTATCTATAAGCAGTGGGAATTGGGGAGAAATGGTTGTTTGGATAGAGGTAGATACTTAGGTAATCAAAAAGATGGAGCTAGAGGAGGGCCTGAAAAGGGGATAGAGTGAGGGGGAAAGAGGAGTGAGGTGTGGCAGCTATGGGATAATAAGTCCTTAATGTGTGTTAAGATGTAGTTCAGTCACTGTGGGGGAGGGTGCTATTGCTAGGGATTCCTGAGGGATAGGAAGGATGGATAATGTGTAAAGTTTGTGTAATAGACTATTCACTGGGTGGTGAGTGTTGAGGCAGTCAGGGAAGTGGGGAGAAAGGGAGGGGGAAGAGAGGACAGGAAGGAGAAGAAAGGGAGAGAAAAAGAAAAAAGAGAAAAAAATGGGGGACAGAAAGGAAAGTGGAGCAATAGAGGACTTGGCAAATTGGTGTTTGGACAGAATGGAAGGAGGTAGCTAACAGTAAAATGGAAGAAAAAAATGAAAAAAATTAAAATTAAAATAAAAAACCATATACCAGTTCAATGAATGTTCTGTACCCTTTCCTCTGATTTCAAATTCAGGTCATGATGCTTTTTACATGGGCTTTGAACTTGGCATTGTCCCTTCTTAAGGTTGGCATGAGGTACTGTGTGGCAATGTGCCCCTCCCTAACTGGACAGCTTTGAGGGGATTGCTCCTGATGTT